AATTTTTTTATAGCGGAGCTTATGGAAGCCAAGGTTTCACAATAGTCATAATAAAAACTTTGTTATTCGGCTATTGGTTTAGGTGCCACACAATTAAACCGACCGCTACCGATCGATTAAATTTTTATACCGATGTGTTTAATTTTCATTTATGATGGAGCGAGGAGATCGTGGAGTCGATTGAAATAATCAAAAAGAGTTTTAGTATTTCCACTTCTTTAAACTCTACTGAGTTTATCGCTGTCAAAATAACATCAAGACATTGAGTCATCTACATCCGTGTAAAGTTTGGACTTTTTCTGAATATTGTGGCGAGTGGGGTGAAATTTTTGGAAGTTCCTCCCCTCCCGATTTCCGACTAATCCGTTTAGTTAATCCTAAAAATGTATATGACAACATTTTTGAAGTATATGACAACAGCTGTCAGGCTCGATAAATTAAATCGAATGACACTGTGAACGAAAAGATCGAACAAAGCTAAAAAATGAGTGTGTATTACCCGTATTTTAAGCGACATGTTACAGTTTTTCGGGATTTCGGATTTTTCCCATTGAGTTGTGATAATTTTTTCCATCAGTTGAATATTACAACTTTTATATTTGGCTCGCGATAGAGTAGATTGGGATGAGAATCGAAGTAACTGCCTAACCGGGATCTCTAGACAAATTATCAAGGATTCATAACTTCCATATATATTGGTTCTACTCAATATTTTGTTTTCATTCAAAGCCTATGTTTTAAGTCAAGCAAACCTAAATATAATGTCAAAATTTCAAAAGTCTAACATTAGGCATTGCTGAGCTAACTCGTGACAAAATTTCGTTGGACAATGCGGACATACAGACAGACAAATAAATTTTTAAAAGTAGATTTGCTGTCTGTAATGAATGAAACGTGAACGGTGTAATGAACATATGAAACGGTTTTATTCTATTCAATGTACAGACAAAATCTTAATTTTATTTATATAGATATTCGCTGATAAATCTTTTATTTTATTACATTATAATATATATTATATTATAGATATATAAATCAAAATTTATTTATTAAATGAATAAATCACTAGTAAAGTGGTGTGTTTAGACATTTAAAGTGACAATTCCGGTATCAAAAAAGCTTAATTTCAATATTTTATGTTGTATGTAAAATTATATTAAATAGATAAAAAGAAAAAACAGATTAGATTTCTTTTGATCGGTTCCGAGTCCATAATTACTGAATGGGGTTCCACCCACAATATTGATCCGGTACTTTTGAAATTCGATGAATTAGCATGTCTTTTTGTTCGTTCAAAATAGTTTCTATTTTGTTCGATTTCAATAAATGGGTCATTTATAGGAATACTTCTTCTTATATTTTAATATTAATGATAATTTTAAAATTATAATATTAAATTAACTAATTCATTTTCGACATTTCTGGCAATCTGCTCTTCTTGGGATTCCAGGAATGGGATATAGTTTATTGAATATTTTTATAATTAAAGTACTTCTATACGTTATTAAAATGAAAAATATTATGTAACTGTGGAATATTTCTATTTCTATCTATTTATTTATATTTCTATGAAATATTATGGAAATGGACTAAATAAATATTTAAAATAGATGGGTTTTATAAACTTGACGTGTATATATTTTGATGTTCTCGGATGTTCGAGTAAAGTTATATATTTTTAAAATACTCATTACAAACTTTTACACAATTGAAAGAATATTAATTTCAACTCCAGCGAAGCTTTTAATGAATTCAGTTAAAATATTTTAAGGCTTATTTCTATTTATTAAACTCATATATTTGGGGGTAAAATCTTAACTTAAAGGCGTACAATTTATTTGTTGTTTGCTGTGGCAACCAGTTTTTTGTTCATCCTTATTTAAACTGGCTCTCGATTCTCAAGGTTTCTCGTCAATTTTACTTACATTATTTTTATTTATTTTTTTATCAATTCTTCTAGAAATTGCGAAAGAAAGGAAGAAAAGAAATTGTAATTAGAAAAAATTACACTGGTGTATACACATAGGTTTAATGTTATTTTCCATAAAAATATTCTCTATCAATATTTTGAATTTTATCCCGATAGATTGCCTGGTACAGCCCACGATGCCCCAAATCTTCCAATCATGCCGTCCGTCATACTTCATCTTGCTCCTTCGGATACTGTTTTTACTAATTTATATATATATATATATATATATATATATATATATATATATATATATATATACACATATATATTTATAGTGAACTTGAGATTCACTAAGTATATAAAATATAGACAACATATAAATAACTATATTAATGTACAATTATTACTTCATGTTCTGTATTTGAGGACGTGGAATGGAAGATTTCTTTTTACAATCAACAACGTATGTTTGTTTCATAAATTTTTAATATTCAGTTAATTTACTCTTATCAGGTAAGATCAAACATTGAAATGTGAATGATAACAGGTTTCTTATGAATAATATGAACGTTCAGAATAATTGAATTAATCGATATGGCGATTATGTTGGCATTAGGATTGCTGATAATTGTTGATGTATTATAAGCTATACCTCGGCAGCCTAATGTGCAAATGGTAATTAGATAGTAATTAGACATTAATTATGAACGATTTCATATTCGTTCCATAATGGCAATTATGGCTAATGCTCTCCTTAATAGTTGTTAAATCGATTCATTTTAAAGGCTATTTATTAAATAAGGATGGGGCCAGTTTTACCCCAGTCATTTAAAGTTTTACTGGCTATTTGTTGTTAGGATTTTATTCAATGACAAACAGAAGGGAGATTTAAGAATCAATAGAAACATTATTATGACATATAATATTAAGGTTCAAGGGTATACATTATAATCCTTTCTTGAATTGTTTTATTGGGAGTTCGTACTTTTTAAATATTTTTTTAAACAGAATATTGAAATTTCTCAAATCACTGTTAAAATTAATTATAAGCATATTATTACATACATAATTATTTACTGCTTCTAATCAATCGAAGATGTTTGGCAGTACCCAGTTCTTAACTGTTTTCTATGCCAGTGCCAGAATATGTTAAATACTACATGTAATACATTTATTTTTAAAAATACATTCTATAGTCGAATAATATGTTAAGCAGACAGAACTTGTGTTATTAGATACCAAAATTAAACCTTTAACGCTAAATAGTTAAATTAATTATTAAAAAAAAATCCAGAAATACTACGATTTTCTGATTATTATTTTCTATCGTCCAATAACGAATTTCCAGACATTGGTCTGAGTATGTGTTTATATCTGTGTCATGATTATTTTTTGTTTTGTAAAATTTCAGAAACCGACCCATGAGTAAAAAAAAATCATCGAAATTTAACCATCATTAGATAAGATCTTGTGTGTTGTTCCTTTTCGAACTTTTATCAATGTTTTTACCAAGTAATTGAGCTGAATAATATGTAAGCGCGTTTCCTTTTATTTATAACAAATCTCGTGTGTCCGCTCACTCCACATATTTAATTGATATACATCTAGATATTTTATCAACTTCATAAATTTCAACTTAAAAGATTGTAGGTCAACTTGATTAAAATCTCGAAGAAATATAAAAAAAAAAACCTAATAAGTTCGATGATTTTGTTTTACTTTTTTTACTAATGTTTATGTTTATTACATAACACGTTGCTTATTATTAAATTTATAACATACAAGTGAGGTTATAATTGAAAAAATCCAAGTACACAGCCCTGTATTTCTAAAATGCAGGTAAAAACAAACAAACCTGTTAACGTTTTTCAAACCCAGGTATAAGGAAAAAATCAGGTCCCGATGATGTCTGAATTTGCGAAAATTTGACGGGTTAATTTATTTTGCCTGAATTTTAGAGACACGAGGATTTGGATTTTTTCAATTATAGCCTAACATTTAATTTATATCTCTTTTTGTTCATTTATATTACTACATAACATATAATAATAATAAGGCTTAGCGAACATAAAGGTTCGATGCCTATACCACAAAACAATGTCCACATTCCTCCATCCACCGCAAGCCGTTTAAACCCATCCTCACCAAATCAGCCTTAATGCAATCTTCCCACCTTCGCTTCGGTTTAACTCGCGGACGCTTACTAGTCAGCACAGCTCATATTAACGTTTTAGGAATTCTTTCGTTACTAAGCCCATCAATTTCGCATACCCATTTTTATTCGCCTTAACGTAATCATCTTAGATTATAATAACCGAGTACAGTTCGCGCAATTCAGCGTTGTATAACCGCCTACATTCTTCTGTCCGAATATTATACGGAATACTTTATTTTCAAAAACCTTAAGACGTTGTTCATCCCTTAATGTTATCGGCCCGTTAAGAATCGTAAAAATAATAGTGGTTTTGTAAATTCGAATTTTAAGTTTCGGAAAAACAGCCGCGAGCTAAGTAATCTCGTAACTGAAAATAGCAAGCGTTTCCCGTCTTTAACCTTTCCTTGACTTCCTCTTTGATTTCTTTTTTTCTTAATACATGAGATATATATATGTTTTTTAATTATTTACTAATTTGGAAGTGATATCTGAATATTTTATATGTATATACACATCTATGACTTCTGTAAGTAGCTGAAAAGAAGCTGGATGAGATATCTCCTAGCCTAACTATAAATAATAAAATCAAGATAGGATGGAGGCTGCTGGGTACTACTCTGCCTCATGCCTTCACTATCCGATTCCTCGGCAGGAAATCCATTTATTAGCAATGTTTATTACAGGTGCGAATAAAAAGATTAAATTAAAAAAAAAATACGATTGCAGTCAAATATCTATTTTTTTTTTTTTTAAATGAGCAAGGTAAATACGCTATGTGATTGAATAATTTAATATAATTATCAAATTTCAGCAGAAACATCCCTCTAAACATATTAGAATACGATCAATATAATAAGAGATTTCTTTACGTGTTTATATCGGCACAGACGTGTTATGTTTTTAGACGATATAGTTTTGAAAGATGAAACTTACCTGGCAGAAGGATTTCCTGGACTGATTTACGACCCAGGGGTTGGAGGCGTGGCCCGATCTGGTGGTGAACAGGCTGCTCTCTGATTGGCTGCCGCAGCCGCCCACCCGCCACGCCCACAGTCGATATCTGCAGTCCCAAAGGGTGCCTAGTCTCATCAGGGTTGCCTGGAGTCTTCCTTTCATCATGGACCCTGGCCCAGGTATTCCTCCACCCTCGTTGATGACATTTATTAAAAGATACAATATTAATGTAGTGAATTTGCTATTTATGAACTTATTAAAATACTAAATCTAAATAGTTAGATATCTTCAACAGATTTGGGAGTAAAAGAGTGTTGATTATATATAAAACCACGGGCGGATCTACGGGGGGGAGCTTTCGGACTGAAGCCCCCCCAAAATTGTAAAATGTAACCATGTTTTACAGAAAAAAATATTAAAAACTATCTCTTAAAGTATTCTTGTTCGTGTAATTATATTTAATTACAATCAAGAACCACTTAAACACCATTTCATACAGGTAATTAATTTCTTTATTTTTTACAAATTAATTATCATTATATGTATATGAAAAAAAAAATCTTTCGGGCTGAAGCCCTCCCCCCCCCAAAAAAAATTAAATCCTGGATCCGCTAGTGTACAAAACCGGTATAGTTTTAAGGCTTATGCTATAAATAATGGCAACAATTTTTATTAATACCTAGTTATTTGTTTGGTTAAGAGATTTATGAGAGCATGTATTGGAAGTGGTAGTTTAGTAGTAGGTGCTCTAAGTGGTAGTTTAAGATTCCAAATTGTGTTGAGTTAAATAATTTTAGATGAAAAATGAAGAAACAGTTTGAAATGATGTTTAAGTGGTTCTTGAAGGCTTCTTCTCACATTTAGTAAGTGTGTTTATAATTTAAAAAGAAAACATGTGTTGATTGTAAAATGTTTATCTAAAATCACCCACAGAGAAACAAATACGGTCCTCGAACGAGTTGAATTACTGTACTAGAATAACTATACTTTTATCCAAATCATCAAAGCTAAAAATTAGACCGACAAGTTAAAATATATCTACAAAACCTAAAGGGAGCCAAACAATATTTATAAAAAAAATATGCACTTAAATACATTAAGCTATTATGGTATTAATAAACACAGTAATCTTAATAATAAGATAATATATTTGTTTCCTTGTTAAAGCAGTGCTTCCTAGAGATACCATTCAACAGGTTTCCTTGCCAAGAGGAAGTGGGCGGAGATAGGGAAACAGCTGTAGAGTCCTGGCTACGATACTAATTTATTCAACTAGGAAAAACATTGTACAATCATGAGCCAATTTCCATCTTTAGCGAGGTTGAGGACAAATGCAGATCAGACATTTCCATTCCAGGTAGATTGTGATGACATTGGTGACAATGTTTCCGATTCCTCTGAGAACCGATCTTGTTCGATAAAACGATTTACTTCAATAACTCAGAGATGTTGATACTTTAAGTTATAAGAGATCCGTTAAGATATATGACAACTGGCACTGGTATTGATAATGGTGGGAAGAACTGTTCCAGCAAGTGGGTCTTATGACGATTTCTGACGGCTTCTTAAAGGGCAGCAACCTTTAAGAAGCCGTCAGAAACGTACTAACAAGAGTGGATGAATCAAGATTCATTTCTCCGTCCAATAAAAAAAACTATTGGTCTAAAAAATAAAGTATGCATTATTTTAATGCATTTAATATATATTATTTTAATAGATTTAATATATATATATATATATATATACATATATATGATAAAAAAACCTTATTTTGGTTAGTCATATTTTTTGAGATATTTTCTAATAATTATTATATTTAATCTATATACGATTATTTATTTATCAAAATCCTTTTTAATCTCACAGTATTTTATTATACATTTAAAACATCTTTAAAAACATTTAAAAATTATTATTTTTTACGTTTGGGCTCCAAGAGCCATTTTCAAAAGTTTTTCTTTTTTAAAAAACAAAATATAATTTTTTAAAATATATATGTATACAGAATACTACTCTATGTTAGTACTCGTTTTATTATGTATAAAATGTTTTGTTTTATTTTTATTTTTATTTCGAACTACAAAAAAATTTCTCTTCTCCTCATTTCATCAAAAACTTTATCCTGTAATTTAACAACTACTTTATAATGAAATAATTTAAAACAAACTTTTTTGAAACCTAAAACACTATTTCATTTTACAAATTTTTCTAGGCGAATTTAATTAATCACTGAAAAAACACGACCAAACCGAACCTAAAAATAAGAAATAAAAAGCTTTTTACATTAATGTCGTTCCTTTTTGATCACCCTCATTTTATCTCTACTGAAAAATAGTGTTTTTGGTTTTAAAAAAGTTTGTATTAAATTAAAGGCGTACTGATGGATTGCTTCGAGCTACATGTCCCGCCAATCTTAACCTCCTTGCCTCTATATCATGAGATATTGACTAACCAGTTTATACATATAATATTCACTACATTTAGAATGATATAATAATATCGCGGTTACTTTGTGTTTTATGAAAACATATAAGCGTGCAAATGGGCTACAAGCCATAAAAGATCATACAATGTCGTTTCAATTAATGAGATGTTTTTAAACAAGTAGTTTTAATTAAGAATTTTTAATATCAATTATACGGCTTTTCTTTAATTGAAATGTATTTTTTAATTCAGATTTTTAGATGATTTTTCAAGCTGCATTTGCATAAATACTGGTATAACAATTATGGAATAATTATTAATTATTAATTAATGACCAATAACTAGTATTCGACTAATAAGTCGTCGAAATTCGATTTAGTTTCTCCGAAAAAAATTATTTTAAACCACTTTTATCCTTCAGCTGGTACAAATGGTTTCATTTCAATATTGTACTTAAACTCTAACTATATTTCAAACATAAATTAGTCACAATAGAGCATTTATAAAAAAATATAAACCGAATAATATGTAAAAAAAAATGCAATAAAAAGATTTTATCGGACATAATTATTACGGATTTCGATTTTTTTTAAACCTTTTTTTCACAATTTCTCCTACTTTAGGAGGTGCAAGAAGATGTTTTGCTGTATATAAATATATATATATATATATATATATATATATATATATATATATATATATATGTGTGTGTGTGTGTGTGTGTATTTTTGTATATCTGCATATTTTTTATATTTCAACTAAGTGATGTGACTTAAAATAATCACGCATGTTTCCCGCAATTGTATACATAAACTATATGGATCGTCTGGGAATTAATTAAAATAAAAAACAAAATAAAATTACAAAATATATAAATTTTTTTGTAATGTAACTATATATAACTATATATCCAGAGGACTGGAACATATAACAATTCTATAAGTATCATAATAAACATTGTTCAGAGTACATATATTTTTAATAGAACGTTATACTGAATTTATTTTTAGGAATGTTTGCATTTTCATTTCAAACTAGTTTTTATTAAAATTAAATTAATTAATTACCTGATTTGAAAATATTTTATTGTAATAAATTAATTAAAAAAACGTTCTAATTAATGATAATTAACAAAATAAATATACTTATTAACAGATTTTTATTATATCCATCCTAAATAAAGTAAGAAGATACGGAACCCCATATAATTAGTCGGGTGGTTGACTTGCAAATTCAGCACAATAACATTTATTTTTTGGTATTCTGATTTCAATTCGAGATAGTTTTATCTGTTTAGGGGTAAATAATATGTACGTTCGCATCATATGCATAGGAAATCATATGTATAATATAATAATTACATTCTTCTCAATAGTGTATAAAATAAAAACTAATATTAATCATAACTATTTCTCATCTGATGGATAATTAAATAATTTTAATTTTTTTTATTTTAATGAAATTTACAACAAGTAAATGTGACATTGGTGACATGACATGTACAACATAAAGAGAAACTACCCATTGGTAGAACTCAAATTGAAGTTCTATATTAGAAGGTCCCGAGGCCATCTTCTTTTCAGACGACTGGGAGGGTTATCAGGGATCGAGGACGAAGCAAGATTTGAAACGAGAGGGTTCGGATGGTTTTGCAGTTTGTTATGGAAGGATAGGTATCTGGATTGTGCCAAATCGGAAACATATGGAACATTATGGTCTTTATGGATGATTTTATTTGTAACAAAGTAAGGAGCGTTGAAGATTTTACGAAGGATTTTGGATTGTAAGGATTGGACATGAGAGGAATTCGATGGTTTAGTGGAGCCCCAAAGCTCAATTCCGTACGTCCAAATAATTGATTGAAAGCTTAGAGCGTTTGTCTAGTAAGTGCTGCAGTAGTCGAAAACGGGCGGTTTCTAGTGGTTTCAGTCTGGTATGGGGGTTCTAAGTGAGTCGTTTCTCAAACAGACAAAATTCAATACTTAAACTGACATTTGACGGAAGAATGGGGCCACATCTCAACAAAAAAAGAAGAACGTTAAACCTCAGACTACGACTATTATATTCACTTCTTTCAAGACGTTCAAAATTGAATATAAAACAGAAACTGAACACATAAATTTATCTACTTAAAACCATTTGGAAGTACATTTCACAGGTATACATTCTGAAAGCTAAAATTATTATTCTTCCTGACAGCAAACTCACTGCTTATCAATATATTTGACAGGTGTGGGTTAAGATATTATGATATATAAACGAATATGTATATATATACATACCTATGTGTGTATATATATATATATATATATACACTATCTCCACTATCTATATATATATAAAGATGCAATTCTGACCTCTGCAGCGCACTGCAGTAGAAACTCCTTCAATAGTGGAGATACTATTTTGCCTGACAGTTGAGTCATCCACACTAGTCGGCCTGTCAAAAACAGCCGCAGTACAAACACCTCAGTGTGTACACACTGGGTTCCTTTACACGACGATTCCATTTGTAGGTGTGGAGTATATGTACACACTATTTCATTAATAACTGCATCCCCGATAGGCTAAGCACAAACGTTTAGTCATCCATAGCCAAATAATCTTTTTCTGTACTCAAAACTTAGAAATCCTTATAATACATCTTATAAAGAAGTAAATATTACCTAATATTATATATAAAATATGTAACTTTATATAAAATATATATCTTGAAGATATGTATATACATAAAGTATCAAAACATCTTATTCTCTTAATTTATATAACTTAATATTTCAATTC